TAATTTGACTTTTAAACATCATAAAATTATCAATAACAATCGGCCCAATGTGATATTTTAAAGTGTTATGATAATCATTTCAATAAACATTTTCTTACTAATACACAACATCGATTTTTTTAGTAAAAAAACGAGTATTTGTATTACCCGTCTATTCGATTATTTTGGCGTCGATACTTTTTGTAGGGGTGTGTATAATTTCATTCCATATTTTGATTTTATACGTAATATCAATGATTAATTAATACAAAAAAATCTTTGATTATTAACAAATAACATATCTTCTTCAGGATCATACTTCTAATGAAAAAATCAAATATATTTATTTAATGTCTAGTTCTCTTGTATTTTTCTATCAGTGTGTGAATTTAAGGATAGGAGATTCATTTATTTTATTTCAAAAAACCAAAATAAAATAATAATAAAAACCTCAAAATTTCATAAAATTAAATTTCTTTGGGTCCTATTTGTTGTGTCTTCGCCTTGTAGCAAGTCGTAAAAAAGTTGCCCGTTATGGTTTATTCAACCGAAACTGGGTATTATTTAATTAATTTTTTGTTATAAATCAAAGGTCCTTAAAATTCACGCGCGTGAAATTCAATTAGCCAATCAGAATTTTTGTACCCGAACACCTCACCAATTCACGCGATTAGTTTAATTAGTTCATTTTTTATTTTTTTATTTTTTTATTTTTTTAAAAAGCAATGCCACGACGAAATCAAAAAACAGCAAAAGGCAAAGAACCCAGAGCATTAGAATCAGACCGGTAAATATTACCATTAGTATAAAAAAATATTTTTTTAAGAAACAATGGATCCATATCTTACTCAAATGTTACTGTTAAAAAAATCTCAAATGAAAATAATGACAGATTCTGGTCTGCTGAATGTCTTTTAGACGAACAAATTATAAAAGGCAAATTAAAATATTTAGTAAAATGGGAAGGTAGAGATAGAAATGGGAAAGAATGGGATCCGACTTGGGTATTTATTACAATTATAGTTCTTTTGCTTTTGTCATTAGTCATTTTGTATCTTTAAAAAGTTATCTTACTGATAAAAATTTCTATTATGTCTTAGGAGCCACCATGTAATATTTCTGATGATTTAATAATGGAATGGAATTCAAAAAAATATTCAATGGTAGTGTATATATGAGTTAATATATCAAATATATCAAATGTATTAAATTATATTTTTATAGAATAACAATAATTCAGGAAAACTTCGTAGAAAATTATCCACAAGTACCATTAGTGATGATGAGCTAAATATGAAGGAAATGAAAAGTCAAAATGTTATTGAAATCTCAAGTATTGAAGATAATATTGATTCAAGTGATGGTAATCATACACCTCTGATTTCTGAATGTGAATCAATATTAAATAATAAATCAGCAGAATTTCAAACAAACCAAGCCTTTTTAAAGTTTATTCATGAAATTAGTTCAAGGATGGAAGATGGTAAAAATTGTGTAAGCTTTCCTTATTACTATTATTTTAAACATATAAATATATCTGTGATATGATAAAAAAATTCTCATGTTTGCACTAAATAATAATTCTATATATATTAAATACCACAGAATTTATATTCATCAAATAATGTTAAAGGTTATAAACGTACTATAAAAGAACAACAGAGGAAACATTATAGAATGATTTTTGATAAATGTGAAGATTTTATTGAATATTTAAATTCATCAAATGATACATTAAATAAAGAAGTATGTGCTATAAAAACAAAATTAGAAGAAGAAATAAAAAAAGGTTATCCAAATGTAGGACCTTCTGTAATAAAGCTGGAAAGTTTACAAGAAGAATATAACAGTAATTATGATGAAATTATATTAGATCATAAAGAAGCATCAAACAAAAATATTGAAATGCAAAGCAAAACAAAAGCCAAAGAAATACAAAAGCTTAAAAAAGATATAAATGATTTGAAAAAAGTTAGAGATGGATATATCAAAGAAATAAGTTCTGCGCGTTCTTCAGATGAAAATTCTGAGCCAGAATTTTCATCCAAAGAACATGCAGAACTTATTTCTTTAAGATCAATTTGTAAAAACTTAGAAGAAAATATTAAATTGGAAGGAGTCAATTAAATTGGGAGAAGAGACAATTAAACAACTCTCTAAATTTCAACTGATTATAAAAAGAATTATATTGATAATTAGTTTATGTATTAAACTATAATATTTGTTAATAATAAAAAAGTATTTCATACCCTGGATAGGTCTATCTAAATTTTTATGCAATAAAGTTCTTCAGAAAATAATCTTTATTTATAATATATTATTTTTATTGCATTTATAATAATATTATTACTTCTTTACAAATAACAGATAACAAAGATGTATATTTACAATAATGATGCCATATTTATGTTAGCTTGACCATTTTGCAAAGGACAAGACTTTCTAGTATTCAGTTGTCAAGAGAATCTGATGTTATAAATCCAAAAAGATCACCCTGATCACTAAAAAGTATTCATCCTGTGCTGGAAATTTTTGAGGTGCATTACCAGCATTATCTGGCAGTTGTACTGGGATTATTGACTGTGGAATTGATTGTTCTAATTTCAGCTAAAAAGAATGAATGAAATACTAAAACAGATACCAATGAAAAAAAGCAACATCAGGAAAATCTTCCTACCAATAATATTCACTTGTATAATTTTGTAATATTTTCATAGTATGACAGGAGCCCGCCTGATGGAGTGGTGAAATTCTAAACATCATAAGTACATACAATTAATAAGTTGCTTTTACAATGCTTAATTTGATTGGTTTATCTGCTGTAGTTGTTGTAACTTGGCTTGAACATTTAATAAAGGTATGTTTGGAATGTGAATAACCTCGCCAGCAACCAATTGCAACCCAGTAACAAGCTGAATGTTTGGTTGTTGATTTTGTTGAGCCATTATGTAAAAAGTATTCGTGTGTATATGGAGAAACAAAAAATTTCAGGAAAATTTGTGGTTTTTTTTTAAGAGGAAAATTCGTACCATTGTTATTATTATATAAAATGTGTCTTTTAATAAATATAAACAGTACCTTTATCACTTGTTATTAATTACGGATTTGGATTTCCCATGTTCAAACTTTCCTAATCACATGTCGGCATCCTAGTAAATTCTACTATATATTTAGCCCATTTATCTTCCAATAATATATATAAATCATCTGAATCTTTAAGAACAATATTTATTAAATTGATGTTTTATATTACATGTATTATGTCTCAGAAAATAATATTTTTCTGCCATGGTTCTCTACTATTTCTGGACTTGTTTAATCAGATTCATACTCAATTCAAATGAAGTGATAAAAAATTAGACGCTAAATAAAGAATGACAACTGTAAACTATTTAAGTAGTTTCTGCTTTATCCAAATGTTTGACTTTAGAAATGTCTCAATAGTTTTAAGAATATCTTTGTAGATAGTAAAACATTATCCAATTTTTGGAAAAAAAAACTTTTCTTTAAGTCTCTTAAAATTAGGACTAACGTAACTCCTTACTTTGAAGCCTATTACTCATAAGGAAACCCATTCTGTTGCAGCATCAACAATGCCAAAGACGTACAAGTCATCAATTGGAGATCCGGCTGCAACTTTTGATGATGGTTGGATCACTTTTGTGACCATTTTTTTTTCATTTTTTGATTGCGATGTGGAACATTAACCAAATTCCTTTATGTCCCTTTTTTTTTTGAAAATAATGTTGCTATATAGAATGAACAAATGTCAAAAGAAACCATTAACTTGATCATATGATAAAATGTCTTCACTGCCTAATTTATATTTTTAAGTTGCAGTTTTGATAGATTTGAGATCTTGTTCTAGTTAAAACGTCCAACGAGATAAACTAATACTATTTCGAGTCGTTGGATTAAATATTATTATTATGGTGCATGGTTTAAAACTAAACCATCAAAAGTCTTCTCTGAACTTGAAGATACATTCCAAAAGTTTAAATATTGGGCTGTTGCGTGTAGTATATTTTCAGTATGAATTACATCTGCCTCTGTTGAACATCCTTTTTTCATCAATGGCTTCCTAGATTCCAAATGTCGTAATCGTTTAAAGGTGATTATTTTTTTTAATTGTATGCAATCTGTCTATAAATCAGGGAGTACCAATCATTTTATAAAAACAGAGCAAATATAAAAAGTTCACTTTATTTATATAATTTCTGCCCGTGAAAAAATAGTATTATATTTTTGCACCATAATTCGTTCTACAAGTCTCTGATAATTTTCATTTGTTATATGGATTTTAATGTGTAGAAACCTTTTAATCAATACTTTCCTCGTTATTTATGATTCTCTGATTTATAGATGGATTATACTTGCAAAAATTAACCATAATATATTATTTAATAAGCTATTTAATTGTTAAAAAAAGATTTTTTTTTTTTCAAAAAATATTGTGTAATCAACATATTTGGGGTGTCTAATACTTTTTGTACAGAGGGCACACTAAAAAACCCGTCTTTATTATTATTATTATTTAGATTATATATATTAGTAGTACTATTATTAATATTGATATTAATATTAGTATTAGTACTAGTACTAGTACTAATACTAATTGTACTAATTTTGATCCCTGTATTTTTATGTTCGCTTTGTCTATTTTTGTTGCAGTACGCCCCATATAATATATACATACCAAGACCATCTTTTTTGGTGAACTCAATTACCTCCTTTACCTGCTTGGCTTCTATGTAAAACTATGACACCGCCATCACTGTTTTGATGTATACTTTCATCCCGAGAAATTGCACTTGCTCCTGTGAAGGAGATTCATAAAGAGCTAAACGTCATTCATTGTATATAGAGTAATAGAGGTAGATGAGTTTCGTACAAGCCGGATCTGTTCAAGATCCAACAAGCATCATGTAGTAATTAATGATTGCTTATTTATTTTTTTATATTTAGAATGTGTCCACATCGGGGATATTCTAATTGATTGTGGTATCAGTGACATCAGATGAGTGATCATTCATTCATTATTTATTATGTAGTGTTTCATTGGCCGGAGTTTGCAGGGATTTTTACCAAATTTATATAGATAGCTCATACAATAGTTAATAGATAGAAATCATAATATTAATATATATATATAATTAAAAAATCCATAAAAGAAAAAAAAATTTTTCTTAAATTTAATTATTAAACAATAACAATAAAAAATAATAATAAAAAATAAAAAATAACTCTTTTTAATTATCTTTCGAAAAAAAAAATATTTTTCTTTCAATAAAATTTATTTCTTCAATAAAATAGTATTAAATAATATTATTAATTATTTTAGTAAATAAAATATTTAGAAAAAAAAAAATGGCAAATGTTGACGTTGATCTTGAGAGTGTTTACCAAGACTATTTGGCGTCTTTACAAGATTTGACCTTCAACTCAAAACCTATTATTACTAACTTAACTATTATAGCTCAAGAAAATATACCAGCTGCAAAAGCAATTGTTAAAGCAATAGAAAAACAAATCCATAGTGTAAGTTTCATCATCTCTATAAATAATAATAATAATAATAATGCATTAACTGTTTTATTTTTTCATCTTCAATATTTCATCCGATTATGCTTATTTTTTTTTTCAATAATTTATTAATATAAATAGTGTCCACCTGAACATAAACTTCCCGTTTTATATTTACTTGATTCTATTAGTAAAAATGTTGGTGGACCTTTTGTTCATCTATTCTCAAGAAATCTTTATAATATTTTTATGGAAACCTATAATTCTGTTGACCAAGCTACAAAATTAAAACTTGAAAAAGTGTTGGTTACTTGGAAAGCTGGTTTAAATGGTTGTGGACCTATATTCTCTAATGATGTAATTGCTTTAATTGAAGGAACGCTAATGAAACATAATCAAAGGTATAATAATAATCGTCAATTAAGGAGTCCAATTGATAACACTACTCCAATTACTATTAATGCTGCTACTAATAACCTTATTAATGGTAATAATGTTGGTGGTGCTAATGGTAGAAATTATATTCATATCAATCCAAGTTTCTTGAATGGAATTGTAAGCATTAAAATAATATTTCGCATAAATGTTTTTACATAGAAACAAATATTTATTATTCTTTATTTTATCTCTTTATTTATCTCTTAATAGAACCAAAATTCTTTGACGTCTAT